AGCTCCGGCTCCTTCCCCACCAGAGAAGTGACGTTCCACGTCCCAAGAGCCAGCTTCTGTAGCCGAGGATCAGACCGCCAGGGTCCCCTCCTTCCATATTATTATTATTATTATTATTATTATTATTATTATTAGACACTTGAACACAGGAAGACTGGAGAAAGAACAGAATTTGGTTCCAGGACTGAAGAGCTCCAGGATGGATCTGAAACTTTCAGCTGGTCCAACAGCTCAGCCTGCTGGACACATGCAGGTATGACACTGATGTCTCTTTAGAAATCAGTTTTAAACATTTTTCTTTGATTTTTGTAATAAACTCAAGCTGCAAATATGTGATTAGAATCTTGTTTAGATTTAAAATGGATTAAATCAACTTTGAATATTTCATTTTAACCTTTGAAAATGAAAAAAACTGATCTTTGTTATAAACATGTTTAAAACTAAATTTGGTTAAAATATTTCCTGTTTGCTTTAAATCAGATCATCAGACTGAAATAAAACTTAATGATGAATAATAAAACTGCTTTAAATATCTTATTTTACCTTTTTCACCCAGCAGTATCATGGACTTCATTTTTTAATCAACTGTTTAAATCTGAATTTATTATTTGTTTCTCTTGTTGTACATTGGTTCTTACGATATGRGTTAGATTAAAAAATAATATTTTACTTAAAAATAAAATATAAAACTTCAAAAAAACATTTAACAGTAAAACCCTTGTGATTAAAGTCATGTTTAGACTAACTTTAAATGATTATAAATACATTTAAATCAAATTTTATTAAGTCCAGAGATATAAAAATTAATCTCATCTCAAAACAAAGTAAAACTGAAGTTTCCAAATAAATAAAGTGACTTTAATTTTAATCAGAATAAAACTCAGTTTTAGTTTTTCATCTGTCAGATGATCTGTTTGAACAAACTGGTCTGAGTTCTGCTCCTCCACACCTGGACTCCTTTAGTGAAGACAAATGTCTCACACTGCTGTCCTGCAGGACGGAGACAGGAGACAGAAGAGACGGAGGCCGGCTAAAACAGCAAAGATACATTTAATGTTCGTCTTTTGGGCAGAGATACATGTAAACATGTAGAAGATAGAAAAAGAAAAAGACTGGTCCAGGTGAGAGTGAAGGCCCGGTAAGGTTCTTGGATCAGGGAGGGTCTGAAGGGTTCTCGGGTCTGAAGGGGTCTTGGATCAGACGAGACCCTCCTGCTGAATGAGTTTAATAAAAACTCGTCCTTTAGAAAACTGGTCAGGCTTGGACCCAACAGGACGGGTTAAAAAGCTGAAGGAGTAGCACCTGGTTTGGTCCAACTGGAGGCCAGAACCTGTTGTTGTTGTTGTTGTTGTTGTATGCTGGGAACTAATAGTGTTGTTGTTTTGGCACACAGCGCCCCCGAGCAGTGAGCAGACCGGTTCTTTCCTCACCTCTCCTCTGTGGAACATCGAGACACCGTCACACTGAGTTTAATGAAGGCTCCTCCTGCTCCTCCTCCTCCTCCTCCTCCTCCCCCTCCTCCTCCTCCTCCTCCTCCTCCTCMTCMTCMTCMTCMTCATCATCATCATCATCATCATCATCATCATCATCATCATCATCATCGAGCTAAATTGGGGTCATAAGTTTTGTTCAAAATAAAAAGGTTTTGAAACTGAAAAAATAATATATTAGAATCTGGAAAAGTTTCAAACATCTCATCTTTGCAGTTTCAAAAACTTCTTATTTTGAACAAAACTTATGACCCCAGTTTAGCTCCATACTCCTCCTCATCATCATCATCATCATCATCATCATCATCATCCTGACAAGAACTAATCATTTTATTCCTCCACAGGTTCAGAATCTCTGCAGCTTCACTCTGATTTTTATTTTATAATTAAAAACCTACAAAAACCAGTTTCTAACCTTCCTGAACATCTCTGAGCTCCTCTTCTGAAACCTGTTTGAGTGAAACTGGTTTTAAATGCAGTGTAAACATGTTTCTAACGCCCAGTTGTCCTCCTAACAGACTGTAAACATCAGCTCCTCTCTGAGCCTCCTGACTCAACCTGCAGATAAATAAACTCAACTTCGACACCAGATCCGTTCTGTGGTTCTGAGGAGCTAAAACCATTCATCAGGTTTGAATCAGAAGTYCACRAACTGAGCTTCAACTATCTGTCACCTGCCACAGTCTACTTCCTGTGTCCCCCACAATCTACTTCCTGTGTCCAGCCCACCTGAGCCCACCTGCACCCCCCACCTCTAACACACATCAGGAGAGAGGCTCATGTCGAGGAAGGAGGAGCGCCGCAGACAGGAAGTGTGACGGAGCACAAAATAAAACCATCGAGCAGGAATGACCTTGCCCAGCTGACCCCGTCATCATGGCTGAATCCGATTGTCGTGGCAACGAGCTCGCTCCGCAGCATCCGTGCTGCAGTTAGCTGCGTCGCTGCAACGAGTCTGAAAATAACACTGCTGGGAGTTTGACGAGAAATTTGACACATTCTCATGTCCCCCGCGGGAAAATAACATTCTTCTACAAAAATGCTAAAATTAACCCACAAATCAGCTAAAATTAACCCACAAATAAGCTAAAATTAACCCACCAATGAGCTAAAATTAACCCACCAATGAGCTAAAATTAACCCACCAATGAGCTAAAATTAAACGTAGTAAAAGATGAAAAAGGAAGAGAATGGTTTGAAACTTCTCGTCTCCCTCCAGCTCAGTAAGAAACGTTGGCTGCTGTAAGGCAGAGAGGTCTGAGCAGGAGCAGAGAGGAGTTTCACTTTGGAAGTTGATGGATTGAYCTGCGGGGGTCTGAAGCAGGACCCTCCGTCTGACTAACGTCTCCTCCTCTCTCTGGGGCGTCAGAGCGAGGCTGACGGCGGGGGGACGACGTTCTGTTAGAGCCGGGGACAAGAAAATCAAAAGTCCATTCAGGCACGAACGTGACAGCTCGGAGCGGGGCCTCCAGGAGCCGGGGCCTCCAGGAGCCGGGGCCTCCAGGAGCCGGGGCCTCCAGGGTGAAAAAGAGAAAACGGTGATGATGAGCGGCAGCTTCAGGTTCTTCTTCTCTCCTCCTGTTTGAAAACTTTTACATGTATTGCACATTTCCTCAGGGCTACAACTCAAYATCTGACAAAAAGTAGCAAATAAAAAAACAACAAAATAAAAGCATGGATAAACGCTCATTTTCCCTTCCGAGGAGGTTTGTTTTGATCAAAGTAATATAAAAATAAAACAAATCAAAGTGATTCGACACATTTACATAATGCCTTCGTCAAAAAGCAAAGGTTTAAATTCAACGTTTGATCGTTTATTTAACAACTGCTGCAGCAAAAARTTTCATTAAGACTAAAATTCTAACCCTTTTAGACAAAAATGTTCCTAAAGTGATCAAACTCTTAATAATAAATAAGTTTTTATGCTCAGGCATTATGTAAAGAACAATAAAGACGAAGGAAGTGTCCATGATGTGTTAAAGTTGCAGCAAACAGCATCAAAAACAAATTCAATCTCGTATAAAAGGAATAAATTATTGCCAGAAACAAAAGAAAACGTGCTCCAGAGGAACTTTTAGCTGCTCTGTGATTTCAGATATTGAATTTTCCGTCCAGTTTTAGTGAGYAGCTGAGGTAGGATCATGTTGTCGTACCTCTGAGCTCCACATGAGGGCGCTGCTCGCTCAGCTTCACAACCAATAAATAACTTTTCTGACGTTTGGACTGCAGCTTTGCATCAATGCACCGTAAAATCAGCTGGTTTTAAAGTGCATCGACTCACAAGACAGAAGCACTTCGCTCCTCGTTACTGTCACTGTGTCGTCACAAACAAACAAACAAACAAACAAACAAACAAAGATGGTTTTATTCCTATAAGATAACTGCAGGTTTGATGGGAGACACGATGCTGTCCAGCAGAAAAATTAATGTTTAGTTTGGATCTGTTAGAAAACATCTCAGCTGTCTTCAACATCGACCACAAACAGCTTGTTGAACTCTGAACTGCTCTTCATCATGATGAATATTCATTCCTCTCATCTAATCTGTTTCTGTAGGTCCAGCAGCATCACAGCTAACGTCTTATTTTATAAACTAACAGCTTTATTATTTATCATATCAGTTCAGAGTTCAGCTCTTCGGCTGTTTGTTAGAAGCCGATGTCAGCAGAGAGCCGAAAMCATTCTGAGGAAGACTCGAGACACAAACAGGAAATGAAGTGAGATTTAAGAAACGATGGATCCTCTCASGACTCCCAGGCTTTGTTTGGACTCGACTGGTTCTGCTCAGACTCCAGGTGGTTTCTGGTTTCTGGAGGACTATGGCACTCGGTTTGGTTGAAACATTATTTTTGCCGTTTTAACAAAGTAACCCTCCGGTTCAGGCGATGGAAAACTAAAAGGCACTTATCAGCAGAGTCCACACGCCGTCCTCCTCAACCCTCMGTCTGGTTTCTGGGCAGGTTTTAGGAAACCACCCCTAAAAGTTTGGTCTTTTCAGAAATGTAACGTTTTTGGGACGTATTGCTTCGGGGGGATTACAGAAAACATTCTAAAGGAGCGACACCGCTCAAATCTTTGGGGGGTTATTTTTTCCGTTCCAGGTAGTTGGAGGGAACCCAGCCCTTCCGGGGGACCAGGCTGTCCTGCACCTGGCAGTACCACCAGCCGTTGGGGTTTCTCTCCAAGACCTCCAGACAGGTTCCCTCGGTGAAGCCCATGGTCTCCTCGTCTCCACGGTAGTCTGCGATGGACACGTACACGTCCCTGCCCAGGTTGTTGTGGATCAGCTGGCTCTTCTCGATGGGCTTGGGCCGGACCGTGGACACGGGGATCCCGTTGCGTTGGTTGGCCCTGCTCAGGGCATCCTGGACATTGCCTGTGCTGAACGCGCTCCCCGAGGACCCCAGACCGGAGCGCTCCACGGGCCGGGTGTGGCTCTCCACCACGACGTGGGGCCGCACGGTGCTGAAGGAGGCATTCCTGCGGACCCCTAGCGTGGCAGAACCCGAGCTGTAGTGGTCGCTCCGGCCCAGAGACTCGTTCCTCCTCAGGGACCCCGTCGTGTAGTGAGAGTCCTTCGCGGACTGGGACGTGGTCACAAAGACGGACTGGGGTCTGACCGCGACCTGCCGCACCCCGTTCCTCATGCGCACGCCTCCGTTCACCAGACCTGAGGGCTTGGAGAACCCTCCGGGGGGTTTGGACGGGATGGGGGGYGAGTTGCCCCTCAGGCCTTGGTGCTGCTGAGTCAGGACCTGGATGTTGATGTTGTTCAGGGCCAGAACCTGCTGCTCGTTCTTCTCCAGGCTGTTCGACTTGTTTCCGTTGGACTCCGATGCACCGGCGTCGCCCCCCTTCTTCACTGGTTCCAGGTAGTAGGAGGGGGCCCAGCCCTCCTCCGAGCCCCAGCGGACGTACCACCAGCCGCTCTCCTGCTTCTCCAGGACCTCCAGCTCCACTCCAGCCGGGAAGCTGATCTCAGAGTCCTGGACCTTTTTGTAGACRTCCACAGAGCGGTACAGGGTGGAGCCTTCCACATCCGAGTCTCCGCCCCCTTGGCTCCCCTTGGAGTAGACAGAGGACAGGTCGGAGGTGCTGCGAGAACACAAGGAGCCCTCTGAGGAGACGACGGAGGCCGTCTCCGAGTCGTCCCCTCGAGGTTTCAGGCTGTGGCGGAACTGACTCGTAGGCCTGAGCTGCCGTCTCAGAGAGCTGATGTCCATCCGCTCTGGGCTCTGAGGTTCCGATTTAGTCAGGAGGGGTTTGGGTCTGACGGAAGGCTTGGGCCTGGTGGACGGGCTTTGACCCAAACCCTGGTCCAGGTCCCGACTCAGGCCAAGGGATTTTGTCCCTCTGCCTAGCTCGTCCGATGACGAATGAGGACTGTTGTCCTGAGACCTCATGTCCACACGCCGGCCCAGAGTCTGGCTTCTTCTGCTCATCTCTGGTGTCATGGGGGTCCGGGGTCTGCTGGCGAAAGGGAACGATCCCGAGGGTTTCCGTGGGACCGTGGAGGACCGGTAGCTCCTGGGGGAGCTGGGCTCACTGGATCCTTTAGCTGTGGTTCCTCCAACGCCGCCGCTCGTCCTGAAACCATCGTTCTCATAAATACACTCCTCCTTAGAGATCTCCTCCACAGATCTGTAGGAGGTTCTCCGACGGGCGAAAACTGGGGACGCTTTGCAGACGGGAGGCGGGGCTTTACTGGACGGAGGCGGGCCATGGTACTTGTCATTGACCTTTACTTCCTGGGGCCGTTCGGCATCAGACTCTCCGTCACATCCAACCGCAGGAACATCGTATTCAGGTTCCTCGTAGACCGGCCTGCTTGGCGTCTCTGAGGCCTTGGAGGCTGGTTTCGGTGGTGGGGGGGCCTCTTCGGGGTCTTGTTTTTTGACGGGAGGAGCCGGGGGCGGGACTTTGGGTCGGGTGAGGGTACTGCTCCGTCGGTTCAGGTTGGGCTTCTTGCGTTTGTCGATGTAGGAGCAGGGGGCCCAGCCCTCCATCTCACCGATCTGTACGTACCACCAACCTCCAGGGTTCTTCTCGATCACCTGAGGAACCAAACATAAACTGATGAAGTCATTAAGGCTCAAAAATTAAGGTTAAATTGAAGCTGCAGCTCAGTTTATGATCAGAAACGTGTAGTTCTGCTGGGTTTGGTCACTACCTGCCCAGACTGTATTTATTAGATCAACAGAAAGAGAGAGCAGAGGAAGGCATTCCAAGCAACGYATCCCTACTAATGTTATATCAAAATGACCGGCTCGGTGGTGGGAGGTGTGCTCATGTTACAAAATATATAAATATATAAATCGCAAAAAACTACCATCAAAATCTCTCAGAGGAAAACACTGAGCCCAGCTTCCAGCTTTTAAAAGATTTTTTAGCAAACAACTAAATACAGGCACAATTTATTTAACAACAGACAAATTATATATCAAAAAAATAGGTATTTTTGTCTTCTTTCGGACAATATTGCTGGTTTTGCTGTAGGAAAAATGGTTTTCCCTCAAAGTGARTCAGAAGTCAGGGAAGTAACACTTTCCTCCCTGTCTTTATCTATGCAAATTTTATTTCATGCTCTGGTTCTGAAGCAAAACCACTGTTTTTCCCTCATCATATCTCTGAGATAAAGAGATGTAAACGTTTTAAAATTTCCATGAGTAATAACCAATCTCTTCTGTTGCTCACGGTTTAAGAATTATTTGAATAGATCTTATAGTTTTCACACAACAACTGGTCGTCTGAACTAAATATTTCTCGTGATGAAAATGTCGCTGCAGATTCTTTCTGCTCCGTCCTGTAACGATGCCACAATCGGGCCTTCTGACTGGCTGAAGCTGTTACCGAGCAGAGTAACCTCAGCGACAGAACAAAGATGAGCACAGTTCTACTCTTTTGGGTTCGGGTCTGTTCAGTTCTGCTCAGGTGTGTCTCTCACTCTGTGGGTGTGATTATGGTCTGCAGTGGCTTCATCTGTTGTGTTTAAAAAATAAACATAGTTTTAAAAAACCTGTTGTGATTTTACTGTTCAGACTTTACTTTTATTTATTTATTTTTTGTTGCGGTGCTGTTTATAAGTGCTTGTGTACCTGTGGGCGGCCAGTTTGTTATTATTATTATTATTACTTTTATCATTATTATATTACACATTAAGCTGTTGCATTGGATGTTTTCTGAAAAGCCTCAGATTTCAAAACAGAAGAAAAACATTTCATGAAGAAATGCACATCGCTCAACAACTTTATGACCAAAGATCTCACATGAGGTGTCAGAGCTCAGAGTATTTGTTGGTAATTAGGGCTGCCACGATTAATCGATTATTAAAATAATCGTTTGTTGCAGCCCTATTGGTAATCACTCTCAGCTACCACCACACAGAATCTGAGCTCAATATCTGTAAAATCAACTAWGTTAAAACCATTTTTTGCTTTTTGTAATGTCAGTTGCTTGTGGCGGCCATCTTTCTTTTAAATAATGAATAACATAGATTTACAACATTTAATCCATACATACCTCTAATTCATTCACAAAATAATATGAAATTTGACATATAATTTGTTTAAAACAAGCAGGCTGGTTGTGTTTTCTCTGTATTTCCTGTTTGCAGGAGGAACTGATAAATAAATGTAATCAATAACTTCACAGAAAGAAATGAGAAAATGATTTATCTGAACTACAAACTGATTAATAATCAATGAAGTCAGTTAATTCATTTTTATATCTGCTCTTCCTTTAATGAACTAAGATTTTTCAGTTACTGGTGTTTAGAACCTGTAGCTCAGAATGAAATTAAAGAAAACCTGAAAAGTATTTCAAATCTTCTCCTAATCCTAAGGAACAGGTCTGCATGGCTCCACTCAGACACGTCTGAAGGTGTCGGAGCTGACGCTCTGCTCTCTGCGACATCCCCGACCGACTGATCCGTCCTCTTACATCAGCCTTTTGTCCTCCGCGGAAACTGATGCCGTCAGAGATGGAGGACTGGAAGTCTGCGATGGTGTAGTACTCTGCTTCCACAGCAGGGGGCTCCGGGGGCTTGGGTAGCTGGAAACCCTGAGGAGAGACACCTTTATAAATWTCAGGAAGTAGAAGAATCAAATCAAATAAAAATCCTTGGAGAGCTCCTCACCAGGTTGGCCTCTCTTCTTGGSGGGGGTTTCTGCCTCAGGTTTGGAGACCCTGCAGAGCAGAGGAACATCTCTCTATAATCTCAGCAGCTGTGAGAAACAGCAGCAGTAAAACGCCTCAACAGGACAAACACTGACCGATCTCCACCCTGTGAGGGGCGACCCGGGCCACGGCGGGCAACCCCGCCTCTCCTCTGGCCTTGTTCTCGTTCAGGGCAGCACTGGCGGCCAGCATGCCCAGGCAGGGGCTGTTGGTGTCACGGCCGGCGCTCAGCCTGCGGCCCGTCTCGGCGTTGATCTCGGAGTTGTAGGGCACAGGCAGGCTGATCTCGCTCTTGGAGAAGTGGCGCTCCGGCCCGCCGCCGCCCTCGCCGTCCGTCTGGATGTCCTTCTCACTGACGGACTTCTTCTGCAGCAGGTTGCTGATCTCCATGATGTTGCCTATGATCTCCACGGGGCCCGTCAGGGTCTTCTTACGGGGGGAGAAGTCCTCTCGGAGTTTCTTCAGGTAGGAGGCCGGGGCCCAGCCCTCTTTCCCCAAATATCTGCAGGTTCAATAAAAAGGAGCAACTTTGTTACCTGTTMGTGCTTTAGAATTAGCTTTTGCTACATTTTCAATGCATTAGTGCTTTATTTGAGTTGGTGGTAGGTTAGTRGAACTAATTTTTTAGATTAGTGCTGCCCACCACTGGTTAGGGGTCAGGGTCTGAAAACATTAGTGGGGGCAAAGTCTTGAAGTCGTGTGCAGCACTGCTATTTTTGTACAATACCATATGTCCACTAAAATAATATACAGCTGGAAATTAGAAGTTTGCATAAGACAAAACAAATAAACATGAGATCAATGGTTTGGATGAGAGGGAGTAAAGCARCGGATGAGACAGCAGTGAAAACTAAAGTGAGAGTTGAATTCAGTTAAGCAGAATSAAAATATTTCAAAATATGTTTACATTATAGCATACAGTATTACATTAATTTAAAGTCTCAAAATGTATGCTGTACACCTGAGTAGACATGTGGAAAAYTTTCTGAATAAATTTTCACACCCTTTTTATGCCCCAAGAAACATAAAAGCACTTTAGAAAAAAAATCCTGTCTGATGTTATCATAATTCATGCATGAAAGGATTAAAGAAAACTCACAAAAACTTTACAAAACAAAGTGTCCTTCTTTAGAGACAATAAATCCAAAGAACTGACTAAAATGAAGCTGCCTGTAGGACCTGCTGACAACATGAAGATGCTTCTGCACAACAATAAGAYCCATCAAGTGAGCCAAAGTCAATTAAGCAGGCTGAATAATTCATGYGCAGAAACATCTCAGCCTTCATTATTATGCTAAATGAGTCATTTGTGAAGCAATAAGTAAAACGTTCCAAACGCATGTCGACTCATTTCTCCCTACATGAGCCATGCTCTGCTCAGAAGGAGTGGCAGAGAGTCTTTTCTTGTTTTTTCTTTCATGACTCCGACCTGCTGAAAGTCCCTGGAACCACAGGAAGCCTGCGAGSATTTTCCTGTTCAGAGGGTAGGAGAGGTTGACCCACCTGATGTACCACCAGCCCTCCAGGTTCTTCTGGATCACCTCCACGGTGACTCCTTTCTCGAAGCTGACCTCGTCCAYGCCCTGACTGCTGTAGGACTGAACCGTCAGGTACTTCTCCTCTGGAGTGGGGCGAGGAGACAAACAACCTTTTCAGCTTTTTCAGGATAAAAGGTYGAGTTGGACCTGAATAAAAAGACTCCTTGTGATTGGTAGGGATGTCCCGATCAGATACTCAGTATCAGTATCGGTGGCAGATATGGACATTGTTTGAAAATCGGGTRGAATGGGATTTAGTCATGTGATCGGTCCGATCCAGTTCATGCTTTACAACTGCCATTAAGAAGTCAAGACGCACACAAGTACACAACCATGTCCACAGTGTGGGAACACTTTTCAATGGAAAACAATGATGCTGAAACTGCATCTTGTAAATCTGCAAACTGGATGTTTCTGATGGTGGGAACAGCAGAGCTCGCTTTAATACTACCAACCTTGTCACTTGGAAAGAAATAAAGAAATAAAGCTATTGGATCGGTACAGGAAAGACTAATCATTAAACTTACGTTCCCTTCCCTTGTGYGTTTTCAGTTTTTCTTTGTTTCTAAGTTGGCGCCACGACAGGCAGCCTGTTACTGTAGCTCCACTGTCTTGAGCTGCTGTAATGTTCAAATTTCCCCACTGTGGGATCAATAAAGTTTGTTCTGTCTGTCCGTCCGGCCGTCCGTCCGTCCGTCCGTCTGTCTATAAAAATCGAATTGTATCGGGAGCCAAAGAATCTGGATCGGGACATCCCTAGTGATTGGACCGGACAGATAATAACCAACAGCTCCCTCTGCTGTTTGAAACAACACCCTTCCTGCTCTGTGGGCCTTCCAGGACCTTCCAGAAAGTAGAAATGACTCAGCCTGGAACTGAAAATATGGATGGAGGACAACAGAGCTGCTTCATGGAAGAACAACCTCAGGCTAGCCTGTTAGTCTTTGCGCTAGTGCTGACACTATATTGCCTTATATGTATTAGCTCGGTGCTAGCGCTACAAACAAGCTAACCTG